TTGATTTCACGGAACGGAACCAATGGCTGGTCCGCGAAGTGGATCTCGTGTTGAGTGACTCGAAGAAGTTCCAGCTCTTCAAAGAGACGTCCGTACAGTTCCGTCAGTCGGCGATTACCGGCGATGAATACTACCAGAAGTGTATCGAATTGTTTGGCCGCAAACGGTTTGTGACCATATTCTCGGAACTGCTGGTACTGTTGCCCGATATCGGCAAACAAAATGAACTGTTGGCCGCTCGACAGCGGGACGCGAAGGGCGCCTCCCGGGGGGCCGTTCCCAAGGGTTTCAAATCACTGCCCAACGACTGTCCGTCCGGCGAGTTTGTGGTGTGCGATACGTGTCGACAAGTGCTCATATCTAAGGATCAAAGCCATCACCTGTCAGTCCATTAGTCGCCGATTTATTATTATATTTTTGTTTGTTTTATAAATTATTGTTTTATTTTTTGTGTTTTGCATTTCAAATATTTTTATATACCATTGATTTTGGATAAGAGATAAAGAGATTTGATATCAAAAAATAATAATAAACTATTGTTTTGAATATTGAAATACCAATTGTTGTGTATTTAACTCAATGAGCGCCGGAATTGATGCTATAGTTGTTATTATATTTATATATGAAATATAATTATATTTTCCAATTTGTTAACAATATTTTTGATGTAATTGTGTTTTTGTAATTTTCGCTTCACATTTGAACTATAAAAATGAAATATAAAATTTCTCAAAAGTAATAGAAAAGCAAAATAAAATAATATAAAGTCAAAAACTAAAAGTATAGCTCAAATGCATTGTACAAAATGACACCAATATTTTATATGTTATACAAAAAAAGTCAGTCAATCACTTGAGGCACGCATTCGCAGTGCGTGTCTATGGGATGGATCGCTGGCCCTATCAATGGATGAAATGCTCTGAACGCTTAATTCCTGGCGATTGGTGTTGTGTTCATGTTTTTTCTCACACATCGATTGCAATCAATAATTAATTGCCAATTAATCTGCGGTTGAATTTGAAAATTTTTAGCCCGTGATTACACATTCATTCCCAGCCATGAATAACATGAACGCAGCGTTTGGAGCGGCGAAAGCGGGTATGCATTACATCCCATCCCTATCTCTTTCATATGTGTTTTTATCCTAAATTTTAATTATTTGTATTAATTATTAATTAATTATAATGTTATTTATTGATTACTTTAGGCTCGGCTTTCGATCCGATCGGTTATGTTATGCGACCACAAGTTATACTTCGATTTATATGTTGGGTTAGTCTCCACTCCCACTCCACTATTAATATTGATTTAATTTAAACATACAAATTGTGATATATTTTAATTTAATAATTTTAATCATGAAAATCTGTTTTATTTAATTGCATAGAAATGCACAGAAAATATTATGTTTAAACATTTGTGTGAATTACCAAAACATTAAAAACACCTTTCAATATAATTTCCAGTGAATGTCATACACTTGAGTATCATTTCGGGGGAATATTTCATTTTTTAATTATTTTTTGTTTTCACAGTATTTTATTTTAATATTAATTTTATTAATTAAAATATGTTTTAAGATTACAATTGATAATTTCAACCATTAATTACTATATGATAAGTTTTACTTAAATAAGCATTGATTTAATTGTATTGTATATGTATTGAACAGTTGTGTTCAGTGATTGTGTTCGGGTGTATATCAGCGAATGGATGGGTGCCTAAAGAGGGCTCTAAACAGGGATTAGAAGTTTGTTTGTATAA